GTATACGGCTTTTCGCCTTCCACGGCGTAGACGACGGCCCAAGAGGCCCCCAAGACCGCCCCAAGACGGCCCGAGAGGCTCCCGAGAGGCCCCCAAAACGGCCCAAGAGGGCCCCCAGACGGCCCAAGAGGCGCCCAAGACGGCCCCAGAGAGCCCCAAGAGAGCTCTGGAATGCTGTCCAGCAAGTGTTTTTTGAGAGGGCTTCCCAAAAACATTTCCCACGGCTGCCCAAGAGATGCCCTGAGAGGCCCCAAGAGGTCTCGAGAGGGCCCCAAGACTGGCCCAGGGGACTCCGAGAGAGCCCCAAAACGGCCCAAGAGGGCGCCAAGACGGCCCAAGAGGCGCCCAAGACAGCCCAAGAGGGCCCCAAGACGGCCTCAGAAGGGGGACCACGAACCCGAAAGTCTAGCCTTTCGCCCCAAGATGCTCCCAGGAGGCCCCCACAGACCCCGAAGAAGCCCCAAGAGGCCCCCAAGAGGCCCCCAAAGGGGCTCAAAAAGGCGCAATAGGACTCCCAAGAATGCTCAGAGAAGCCAAATAATGAGCGATCGGTAATGCAAAATGCTCTTCACACCAAGGCTCCCAAGAGCGCGGGGTGACGTAACAAGCTCTCAACGCCAAGGCTCCCAGTACGAACGGTGGTGTGAGTAATTTCGGTCAAGTTGTTGAAGCGCTCTTTCCGTTTCCGTGCCGGCCCAGGTGACGGAAAGCGCGCGTTAGCGTGCGGTCCGTTAGTCGGAAGAAATTGGACTTGGGGGAGTTCGAGGGGGTTGGCATCGCGACGCCCGAGATCTAATTGCCCTCCCGCCTCGTTTTTTATCGAGCAGGACGGCCTTCTGGGCTCAAAATTTGCGTTTCGCTCGAGACTTCATCGGAAAACGCTTCTTGGGCGCTTCTTGGGCCGTCTTAGGCGCCTAAGACAGCCCAAGAAGCGCCCAAGACGGCGCCCAAGACGGCCCAAGACGGCCCAAGAAGCGCCCAAGACGGCCCAAGAGCGCTCCAAGAGAGCCCAAGACCGCCCAAGGCGGCCCCAAGACGGCCCAAGAGGCCTCCACGACGCCCCAGGAGGCGCCCACGAGGCGTCCCAAGAGGGCCCCAAGAGGCCAAAATCATAGATTTTCTGAAGGAAAACGTGCATTTCTAGCCTATGCGGCTTTTCGCCTTTCATGGCGTTGAAGACGGTCCAAGAGGCCCCCAAGACCGCCCCAAAACGGCCCAAGATGTTCCCAAGAGGCCCCCAAAATAGCCCAAGATGGCGCCAACACGGGCCAAGAGGCGCCCAAGACTGTCCAAGAGGCCCGTGAGAGCGCTCCAAGAAGGCCCAAGAGCCCCCCAAGAGGGCCCCAAAACGGCCCAAGAGGGCGCCAAGACCGCCCAAGAGGCGCCAAGGCGGCCCAAGACGGCCCCAGGACGGCCCCAAGAAGGCCCCAAGAGGCCCCCAAGAGAGCCCAAAGACTGCCAAAGGCAGCCTGGTCCCTTCACCCCCGCAGCCCAGAAGCTCCCAGGAGGCCCCCAGAGGCCCCCGAAAAGCCCCCCAAAGGTCCCCAAGATGCACCCAAGAGGCTCCCCAAGAGCCCCCCAAGAGGCCCAAAATATTCCCAAAGGAACTTAGCACCGCGGCTCCCAAGAGCGAGCAGTGACGTAATCGAGCTGATAAGACCAAAGCTCCCAACAGAGAGCTGCGGCGTAATAAGTTCTTGCAGCCAGGGCACAGGGACGGGCGGCAACGCGTGAACAACGAGCGGTCCACGCAAGGACAACGCGGGGTTCTGGAAAGCTGGCAGCCCAAACGCGGAAAACGCAACGCGACCCGACCGCCCCTTCCAAAACAAGAACCGCGCTCAAAGAAAGCTCCGCGACTCTCCGAGGCTGAGATAGGACAAGAGCGAGGGGAAGGGAGTCAATAAGAGGTGTAAGAGCGGACGAGTCAGCGATCCCGTGCGCTCTGAAAGTAAGTGCGCTTTCCGTCCCCGTGCCAAGCAGGTCTAATGGCCTTCGGCCCATCCCGTCACCGTGCTTGGGTTGTGGGTCACAGGCCTCTAGGATGTTCGCTGGGATGTCGTGGGAGGCCTCTCGGAGGCCTCCTGGGGGCCGTTTTGAGGCCTCTTAGGGGGTCGTTTCGGGGCCCCTCTGTTGTTTTTGGGTCCTCTTGGGTCGCATTGGGCGCCTCTACGGCTGTTTTGGAGCCCTATTGGGCAGTCCTGCGGCCCTTTTCGGGGTCTCTTGGGCCGTTTTGGGGCGGTCTTCGGGGCCTCTTGGTCCGTCCTGGAGCGTCGGAAGCTCGAACATGAAGTCTAGGACCGTCTCAGGAGCCTCTCGGTCCGTCTTGGAGCGTCTAAGACCCCAAACACATTGAAGAAACATGGGAAAGTCCATGAGTTTTACCTGTCGGGGCCCTCTCGCGACGCCTCTCGAGGTTCTCTGGGACCTCTCAGAGGCTTCTTAAGCCGTCTTGGGGCCACCTTGTGCGTCTTGGACCGATCGTTCGGCGGTTTTCTTGGACCGACTGGGATATCACAATCGATCGGACTCATAATCTATCCTTTCATGGGATAACCAGGACAACCGCAGGATAACCATGGGACAACCACGGGACGACAACTGGACAATCACGGACAACCACGGGCAACCGCAGAACATCCGCGGGACAACCCCGCGACAACCGCGGGACAAACACGGGACAACAGTGGAACGTCACAGGGCAACCGCGGGACAACCACACACAAACACGGGACAACCACCGATAACCACGGGACGACCACAGAATGACCACGGGACAACCACGGGACAGCCTCGAGACAACCACAGGACAACCGCGGGACAACCCTGGGCACTCCCAGGAGCACAGGGACCAGACCCATTTTGGCGTGACCTGGACTTAGTCAGTGCAGGATTTCGCGCAGTTTCGTCCCGCCCACACGCACGATAAAACCGAAGTCGATTTTCCACTTGCGGTCTTCGCTTCTGTTCGGTATTACCCCCAACCTCCGATTCTAATAGTCGACCTCGCTGCAGTATCCAAACGCGCTGCCTCGCGTATCCGCCTCCACCCTTGGGGATGTGGTTGTGGCGCTCGCCGTTGTCATGTGGTCGTAGCCTTGTGCGGCCGCGCTGATTCTGTCATGGGGCATGTTGAAAGCTGCATGCGAGTATCGACGCGTCTTACTGTGTGGCGATGTGCAGCCTTGCTTTGACTTGAAGGATCTGGAATGTTAGCTGTGTCCACAGTGGTGCGTGTGTGCTGAATTGCAGTACTACCTGTTCTGATGTTTCCTCGCCTTGCCTCCTGCTTCTCTGCGACCGGTTCCTTGCTTTCCTACTGCACAGGTTCACAAGTGACTAATCCGCGGCCCGTTCTAGCCCGAATGCGGTTTGAGCCACATCGCTGCGACAAAGAGGTGCGACAAAGTGTGTGTGTGTGTGTGTGTGTGCTGACTTGCACGGCAGGTGGGGACCAGTGGGAGACTTTTGTTTAGGAACAGGAGGAGGAGGAGGAAGAGGAGGAGGAGGAGGAGGAGGAGGAGGAGGAGGAGGAGGAGGAGGAGGAGGAGGAGAAGGAGGAGAGTGAGGAAAAGGGTGTCCGATTCGTGCGCTGTTTGATTTTGGATGGGGGGAGGAGAGGAGCTCTTCAGCCATGAAGTCGCGCCGCATGGCCGTGACTTTGCATTCTGTTCGCGATGTCCACCGTGGCGGACATTCTCGGGCCTCCTGTGGGCCGCCTCGGGGCCCTCTGCGGGCCTCCTTGTGGGTCCTGGCACGCCCTGGTGGGCTGCTCGGGCCCTCTCGCGGGCCGTGCTGGGCGGTCCTGGGTGCCTGGAGTCCCTCTGGAGGCCAGCCAGAGGCAACCTTTGGCGAGGAGCGAGGAGCGAGGAGCGAGGAGCGAGGAGGAGGAGGAAGAGGAGGAGGAGGAGGAGGAGGAGGAGGGGGAGGAGGAGGAGGAGCAGGAGCAGGACGAGTGAAAACCCAAGAGTCATCAACGATGTTGGAATGAACCCTCACTCCAAGCTCCCTCTTCACAGGTTCCTACAACGGTTCATTTCCACAGGGAACTGCTTATGCCTTGTTTGAAGACAGCCGCCTGAAGGCCCTGAAGCATGCCAAAACATTGTGGTCGGGATTCCATCGCCACGGATCAACCTGACTGTTGCGTCTTGGCGATCTTGAATCGTGCCAGAACACCATTCCTAGGACTTTAACACCGCGAATCAACGTGACTGTTGCACCCTCATGATCACAAATCATTCCAACACACTATTTCTGGTACGCTGATCATGGGAATATGTGAAACCCTTGCGCATTTTAAAAATGATTGTGCGCGGCGCTAGGCTAGAGCCACATTTTGAAACAGAACCGCCCTCAATGAAAGCCTTGCAATTTCTACACCGAGTGTGTGCGGCGCTAAGGCGAGAACCACATTTTGAAAACCACCCGCCCTCAATCTATGAAAATCTTCTATTTTTTGAAACGAATATGCGCGGCGCTAATGCTAGAGCCACATTTTGAAAACGACCCGCCCTCCATCCGTGAAGCGGTTGGTGAAGCGGTTGTCAATGTGCAAGTTTCAGGGCCGTAATGGTGAGGAAGTCTCAGGCGAAACGCCCGGACCGCCTTAAATAATTGCTTCCGGGTGCAACAGGGAGAATATACTTATATGGGCAAGGAATGGAGGAGGAGGAGGAGGAGGAGGAGGAGGAGGAGGAGGAGGAGGAGGAGGAGGAGGAGGAGGAGGAGGAGGAGGAGGGTTCTGGGAGCCCCAGACATAATCTTGGCACTCCGCGTGGCAACACGCAAATCGGCCCTCCCAGGGGGCCTCGTGGAGGCTTCCTGGAGGCCTCCAGCGGATCTCTCGGCGCCAGGCGGGGTACTGTTTTTGATCGTCGGCCGTCTTCCAGGTGGGCTTGGTGCCGTCAGTGGAGATCTTTGGGCCGTCTTGGGGCGCTTTGTGGCCGCCCTCGGCGTGGCAGTAGGCTGGTCAGGGTCCGCGCTAACAGCCTCTAATA